AGTGTAAAACTGCTGTAATAGGCTGAGGACCAAAGCCAGGGTGGTAACTACAGGAGTGAATTCCAAACAGGCTGTGAAAGAATAACTGCTTAGAACTCAGTTTAGCTCAGTTCAACAGACATTTATTGCTGCCTCTTAGCTGTTAGCTGTTTGCCAGCCATGGGGGATTTTAAAAACTGGAGAAACCATTCCAGTCATTAGGATTTTTTTAATTACAGGAATAGACTTCCAGGTTTTCCTTAATGGAGTCTGTCTCACACTAGCTCTTAGAAGGAAATATTAAAATGTACTCTATATTGCAGCATAAGCCAAAGAGAATTCTAACCCACCTACTAAAGCTTTAAAAAATAAGCTTTTGGTAAGAAGGCTTACTATCAGTAGCCAGAAAGTTTTGAAGAGAATTCTGTGGGACAATATACTAAAAATAATAGTTCTTAATGTATTTACATCTGTACAAGGGTTAGAATGCATGCCATTGGCAAACCTCACGTTTAGTATTTAAGAAATAATAATAGCCAGATATAGTGGTGCAAACCTGTATTTCTAGCACTCTGGAAGGTTAAGGCAAGAGGATCAAAAGTTAAGAGCCACGCCTGGTTAACTTGGTGACTTAGTGAGACCTGTCTCAAAATAAAAATGAAAAATAAAATGGCCTGGGATGTAGCTAGTGAAAAGGCACTAAGTTCAATCTCCAGTACCGACTTGACCACCAACACCAGCACCACAACAGCTGTCATTTATTAGGTGCTCACTATACCTCAAACATTGTGCTATATGTATATTATCTCATCTTCACAACAACATGCATGTAAATATTATTAGTATCACTTTTTCAAGAAAAACAAAGGCTTAGAATATTACCTGTCTTTTGATACTAAGCTAGCAAAATAGCAAAGCCAGAATTCAAACCTAGATCTAACTCTTAACTCTATATTCTTCTTAAATGTGTTTTAATAGATACAAGGCATTCAAGAAAGGGTTTTGAGAAAAACACCAGAGATAGAGAAAAGAGGGACATGGGGGCAAACATACGCAAGGCTCACTTGCTCTCACACTGTTCTGGTAGAGGGCATATTTGTCCCAGGTTCACCAACCAGTTCCATTCAGGAAGAAATCTAGAGGTCTGGGTATTAGTTTTCTACTGCTGACATACAAACTTAGTGACTTTAAAACAACTGATTGCCTTAAAATCTTATAGGTTACATGTCTAAAATAAGTCTCACTAGGCTAAGGTCAAAGTATTAGTAAAGCAGCATTCCTGTCTAAGACTAGAGCAGAATCTACTTTCTTCACTTTTCTAGCTTCTAGAGACTATCAGCATTCCTCGGCTTGTGGCTCCTTTTTACATCCTCAAAGCTAGCGAAGGTTACTCGAGTCCTCCTCAGGTTGCTGTCTCTCTGGTTTTTTCATAGCCCCATCTCCCTTTCACCACAAAAAAGTTCCATAGTCATGAGGATGTATGTGATTAGACTGGGGCCACTCAGATAATCAAGCAGAGCATCAACATCTCAAGGTGTTTAACTTAATCATATCAACAAAATTTCTATGTAGGTAATAGATTGTGAGAACTGGAACACAGACATTATTGAGAGGGAGGGGATCGCATAAAGCCACTCAGTATTTGAACTATGTCCTCAGTATTTGAACTGGTCCTTCTGTTCTGGTTCCATACAGATAAGACAATTTACTGATAATATTTTGGCTTGCCCTATAGCTTACTTATAGGAAGAGAATGTGCTGTTTAGAAGATACAGTGTCTAATCCCCTGGGCAAATATACTTTACATTATATTGAATAATTTGTTTTTTGAGTTATACATTAGTGTCTTGTGAGTGCTGTCAGAATGAGTCAGAATCTCTTAGTCCAAAAACTCCAAGATGCAGACAAGATCAATATTCTGAATCTTTAACTTAAAGATCAGAGTTAGGGGTGAGGGAGGGAGTATATTTAATAGGTCTATATCTATTATAAAAAAAACTTTTAAAAATCACATTTAGGAAATTATATATAATTAGATATATCTAAGACTACAGTTTTATGCCATTCTCTTTGATTTACAGGATTGTATTAACAAAGCAAACAGTCATAATTTTCAGATTGTATCCATGTAACCAATCAAATGGTTTGAAATAGAATGTCCGTGAAAGGCAGTGTAGAACTTCAAATCAACAACTTTTAAAACTTAGACAATAGCCAAAAAATTTTTGCACTGTACATTGTAAATGGGTAAATTGTATGATATATGAATTATATCTCAACAAAGTCATTTAAAACATGGGTCACAAAGAGCAGACAATGTGAGTATGAACCAGTTAAATGTCAGGATTAAAACATCAGGAGAAAAACAAAGGATCTTAGTCAATTTATGATATTAGTGATGATTGCTTCCTTAACACTTAGTACTTCCTTCTTTCTTCTTCTATCTACTCTCACTTTTTATAGATTCTGTTATTGGAGGAGTCACAATTTTATATCCTCTCCCTTTATGTTCTTGTTTTTTAGCTTACTAATCAATTGATATTCATAACATAACATACACAACAGACTTACTCTCTAAATTGTAAATAATGTAGAATGTGATCCTGATGCTAACTTGCAGTGCTCCTTATTTGAGATACTTATGGAGAAAGGAAACATTCCATTCCCAATCCTGTTTTAGGGGCTTCTGTTTTGTCACCTTTGCTCTGTACCATGTGCTAATTTAGTATGTGCCTTAAATCATTCCAAGTGCCACAATAGCTCTATCAAGAGTCATGCTTACTTGTATCAGGATTCTCATATTAAATTCAAAGAAGTAGTTTCTACTTGCAAATGTGGAAAGTTCACAATTTAGTAGAGAAACTCTGTTTATTCTATTTTATAGCAATAACTATTATAATGCCCAAGAGTCATTCAACTGATCTGTGGAATGCTATTGAATAACTTCTCTCTGCACTTAAAAAAATAGCTTCTCCTTTCTCAAGACTAGTAATGGCCCATTTTCCCAAAAACTGGCTATCAGAGGTCACAAGGTAGTTTTGCTTATGAATTAGAAAGTTAGGCAACATTTTCCTTGAGGCTTTCTAATAGTTGATATGTGAAAATAATCACAATATAGGTCCTAAAAATGTCCCTGCTAAATAACAATCAAACCATTTCAAAAGAATATTTTCCTGAAACAAACAGATTAACATAAAAAATGAAATAAAAAAACAAAACAGACCTCCCCTCCTTTAAAAAAAGTTTAGAAAAAATTAATAAAATACCAGTGTCTAAGTCTATAAACAGTTCCTTCAACCTTGAGGTAGAACACTTGCCTTGTATGAATTTAAACAAAATGGTCTAGCTATGTGAGAATTTTAAACAGTCACTTTCTATCCATTATCAGAATAACAAAAATACCTAGTTACACGTCTAATCCTTGGACATAAGGGTCCATTACTCTGCCCCCACCCCATATACTGGGGACTAAACCCAGGAGTGCTCTACCACTGAGCTACATCCTTACTCCCAGTCCTTTCTTTAACTTTTGAGGTAGGATGTTGCTCAGGCTTGCCTCAAACTTGCAATCTTAATGCCTCAGTCTTCAGGATTACAGGTATGCATCACCATCCCCAGCTATAACTGTGCTTATATATTGATTCTCCACTGAACCACAAGTCTGTCATATTGTTGCATGACTTCATGTGGTACAATTTATTCCCATGTCACAGTATGCTAACTACACATATAGAAAGAACATGATAGTTCAAGAAGAGCAGATCAGTGTATATAACCCACACTGAAAGTGCAGACTTACATAATTTCCTTGATCTTAAATATGACTGCAAAACTGAACTTGTAGAATAAATGTAACATAAATTCAGTTCCAGATGCAAAAGTGCTTTAGTCAAATAGTTTATACTATTCATTTTCCCAGGATTCTGAAAAAACCTGGAAAATTTTTTAATTACTGCACTGGAAACTGGAAATCTTTGAATGTTAGGTTACAAAGCAGCTTACAAAGCAGTTTATGGTACATTTATAAGTTTGCCAACATTGTGTTGTTGTTGCTGTTGTTGTTTTAATACCCACAGAAACTCAAGTCCATATTCTAGGGATCCTTTCAGACAATTGAAAGTTGAATTTTCCAAGCAGGCAGCTGTAGCTCATTAGATCTGCCATGGACCGTGAAAACCACTTGCCAATAGTGTCAAAAGACCATTACTCATTTCAATCTCACCAAAGAGGACAGACCTTTCTCTGACAAAACATTAGTGAAAAACACTGAATACGGGGCTGTGACTGGAACACCTCAGCACACATGGATGGAAACTCAATAGAGAAACTCAAGCCAAGTGAAGGTGGCAGATTGATGTTCTAGTATTTTTTTAACCTTCAGAGAGAACAACTTCCATCTGGATTTCAAGAACAAAAAAAAAAAAAAAAAAAAAAAAAAAAAAAAAAAAAAATCAAACAAAAAAAATAACTTAGCAATAACGCACCTGCAACATGTACCATCCGACCTGATAGAACTGTCAGTCTGAATGGCAAAGTCTCTGCATTTGATTGAGCTTTGTAATCTCAGAAGCTCAAAACAGAGAAAATTAAGGAGCCAATCAAATCACCTTTGAATGTCATTCACTGTCCAACTAATGTAGTTATTCAGGAAAATCATGATCACATTCAGAAATACCTTAAGCCCTTATTCAGCAACCACAAAACCAACTAAGAAAATTCTAGACATTTTAAATTCTGTAGAATTAAATTAAATATTAATAAGCCATAGCAGTATACAGAAGATGAAAACAATATAACTACCTAGATAATTTGCACAAATATAAGTAATCTTGTTCAGACAGTACTGAAATCTAGATAAATATATAATACTGAACTGAAATTGATCTCAGTAGAGAGAGCCTGATAGCTCAGATACAAGCATGAAAAAGGATTCCAAGTTGTCAGGTAGGCTCTGTTTCTTCATCAAGATGCTAGCTACACAGGTATCTTTAGGTCATGAAAATTCATTAAGCTGTACTTACAGTACGTGAAATTCTGCAATCAAAGAAGCTCTGTAATCAAGGAAACATCGTGTCCTCTAGTCAACTGTCCCATAATTTAATCTCTGAGAAAAGCAATAGCAACAAATTCCTATTTACTATTTAGTTGAGTTCCAATAGTATGTTTTTAAAAAGCAAGTAACAAAAAAATGTACACGATATGAAAACACATGTAAAAATGCTTCCAAAGGAAACAACTAAATGCTAAAGCACAAAAAGGAACAAAAATAATAGGCTTTATAAGAAGGTGAAGAAAAAAACCAGGTAGTTCAACAAGTTCCTGAAATCCTAGTAGTGATCGATAAATTGACTTCTGCTTCACCTTTTATGAAGAGGCTGTACTTAGCAAATCACTGTGTAAGCTGCCTCAATAACAGCATTCCTGCTATCAAGTTTACCTGCAATGATTCCAACAAAGAAATTAATTTCTTAGATGACAAGAAAAGGTTATCTGAAATGGGGAAAACACAGGAGACTGAGCTTTCTACTAATAAAACAGACAAATATCAGTCTAGGTACTGAATTCAGAGCTGTTTAACTGTTGGCAAGATATGAATTTCCTATAGCTCATCTACTACATACACAAACATACACATATATGTACATATGTATGTATACATATGTCTGTGTATTTGCTCTGATTTTCTAAGACTTCCCCAGTTTTAGCATTAAAAGTTCCATAACCCAGAAACCTAACCCCAGGCAAATTGGGACAATCACCCTAATTTCCAGCTACCAATGCAAGCACATGCATATACATGTACACACACACACACACTCATCCATTCACACCCCAAATTCCAAAGAATGTTTTCCTAAAATGTGTAATGAATTTATTAACTCTTCAGACAATAAGTATATCATTAACTGTCTAACTTAGGCATAATGGTACATGTCTATAGTCCCAGCAACTCAGGAGGCTGAAGGAAAGATCTCAAGTTTGAGACCAGCCTAGGCAACTTTGGAAGATCCTATTTCAAAATAAAGAGTTGGGAATGTACCTCAGTGTGAAAGCCGTAAGTTCAATCCATAAAGGACAGAAGAAAAATCTTTTCATCCTATGGCTGTTTCTTGTTTGATGACTCTAAACAAAATATGTAACTGGCAGTGATCAAAACTGAGAACTTGCAAACTGGCATTCATCACAAATCATCAGGCACACTCTTTTCTAACATGACCCATGTTTAAATCTAATTTTTATCATTAAGTGTTCTCATAGGAAATCTTTTATCATAATTCCATTTTATAAATATGAGGAAAAACTCTAAGGTATTCTGTAGTTTGGAATTCCAGTTCTACCACCAAACTATGCAATCTTTGGGGAAAAAAAAAAAACTGTTTAACTTCAGCAAGTCTCTGTTTCCTTGCATATAAAATGAGGATAACAGTTGTGCTGACTTCATAGTGTTTTCACATAAAATGCTTAGGACAATACGGTAGCCTGAAGTTCCCAATAAGCGTTACTTATTATTGTTATTGCTAATGGTATTGTTGTATAGTTAAGAATTTACAAGTACTTTGAAGGTGGCATTTGCCTATTCCTGTCTTTGTTAGTGGAAACATTTTCTTTCAAAAACAGTTTTCTTTAATTTTATAATACTTGGATTTCCAGAATTATTCTAAATTTAAAAGCTAAGAAATTCCTGAGTAGTTTAAAATACGGAGTTTCCTTGCAATAAGATTCATTATGTCCTTATATGGAATTTCTTCCTATTATTGAATTTAAATAAGGAAGAAAATCAAAACGTCTCTCCTCACATCAGAAAATATAGCATTTAAGGGGCTAAAATAGGGCTGGGGATATAGCTTAGTGGCACAGCACCTGCCTGGCAAATGCAAGGTCATGAGTTCTATTCCCAGTACCAAAAAACAAAACAAAACAAAAAAGGGGGGGGGGAATATAAAGTTTTATCAAGTTTAGAAGAAACAGGCGTAAACACTGAATCAAAATAGTCCAGTAAGATTTTAGAATTTGAGGAATCTTCAAAATCCTCTAGGCCCAAATCTGCCTTTCTCTCTTCTTCTTTCTCTAATACTGGGCATTGAACTCAGGGGTACTCTACCACTGAGGTACATCCCCTCTCCTTTTTTTAAATTTTATTTTGAGACAAGGTTTCATTAAGTTGCCCTAGTGGGCTTCAAACTTGTTGTCCTCCTGTCCCAACCTCTTGAGTAACTGAAATTACAAACATGCACCAACACACCCAGCAACCTCTCACTTTACAAATAGGGCTCATAAGAGTTTGAGGGCATAACTCAGTGGGATATTACTTGCCTGGCATATTCAAGGTCTTGGGCTGTATCCCCTGCACTGACAAAAAAAATATAAGAGACTATTTATCCAAGTCATATAGCCAGAATCAGAGATATTATAAGAACCCAGGTCTCCTCACATGCAGTTCAGTCATCCTTTCAATATGATTCTTTCCAAATCTTAAGTGAAAATCATAAGACAAATTCCTGTTTCAAAATCTCTAGTAAAACTCATGTTTGAATAAACAAAGATAATTAAGGGAGAAATACTTAGCATAGAACACAATATAACATAGAACATACACTTTGAAAAAAATATACACTTTGAAGTGTATATAGCATGTTTCAAATGCCAGCTCTGCCATACCTTCACTGTATCTCAGCATACAAAGTACACTCTGAGTTTTAAGTTCCTCATTTATAAAATGTAGGTAACATGACCTACACAAGTACATAAGATATAAAACAGGTTAGGATAGCACAGTATTGAGTCAGATGATGAGATGTGATTAAAAACATGAATGCTTAAATTTTTCTAAAAAATTATTTCAGTAAAAGATATATTGTCATTAAGTCCCCTTAAAATACACCCCCCCCAACACATACACACTTCAAACACACATATCCCATAGTTCTTGCCTTTCTGAAACAGTTCCGGAGGTCCTTTTTGTGAATGTCTTTCCTTAGTTGCACTGACAAGGTTGCCTCAATGTCCTGAATCTATTCAAAATGTTTACCTTTTGCTGTCAATTTTACTTTGGGGAAAAGCCAGACATGCCAAACTTTGTGTCAAATTTGGTGAATATGGTGGATAAGAACACAACAGAATGTATTTTAGAGCCTGTCTTTCCACTGTATGGCACTAAGTAGCAGCATTCACTGTACCTGTGATCACACCCTGTGTTATGGTTTGTGTCTGTGTGTCCCCCCAAAGCCTTATGCGGTCATGGGGCAGGCTTTTAGAGTTTGACTGATTATGGGTGTGAAAGCTACACCTGCCCTGGGGTGGATAGTTTACATATGTAAGGGAGAGGAAGAGGCTGCTTGAGGCCATTCCTCCCTTTTAGGGTTTATTGTTTTTGCTGTGTTCTGCTGCCATGAGCTGTATGCCTCTGCCATGTGCCACTCTACCTTGTAACCTGCCAAGTATGGACTGAAACCTCCACAAACTGTAAGTGAAATAAACCTTACCTTCCTTAATTTTGGGCATCAAGTATTTTGTCCCAGCAATGAGAGAAAAGTAACCAAGACACCCTATAAAGACTCAAAAGAAGACTTCCCTAACTTTCAGAAAGAGGCAAGAATAATGGGATAAATATGTTCAAGGCAAAGGGGAGTATTATGAGAGGGATTAATAACAGTGCATCTTTTGCTGCAATAAATTTTTTAAAACTTTAAGCATTCATTGTATAGTTTGAGCATACTACAGACCTATGTTTGAAAAAATTCATAACTTATTCCTTGTTTGAGCAAGTTGTATAAGGTCTTTGATGCACAGGAAGTACTTTCACACTGAACATGGCACAAAATAGCTGTAACAAGTTTTAATGTTATATAGATCATGTGGCATGAGTAATAAAAATACAGCCACCACCAATAACAAAAACATCTCCTTTCCAAGTAAAACTAGAACAGAGTGACAAAGTCAACGGGTTACATAAAATTCAATGCTTTTTTGCTAAATCTACTGCAAGAATGAAGACCATTCTCAGCAATCAGACTGCTGACATACCAGAAAATGTCAATACCACTCTGAAGGAATGCACAGTTCTTGCTAAGGGGCCCAGAGGACTCTACAGAAGAATTTCAGTCACTTCAGTGTAAATCTCAATTGCTTCTCAAAGATAAAGAAGTTCCAGGTTAGCAAATGGGGGTGAAATAGAAAAGAACTAGTTGTTGCTTGCACCACCGGTAGTTATATAAATAACACCAGAAAGACTGTCACCTGGAGTTTCCATTACAAGATGAGATTTGAGTACACTCACTTCCTACCAATGTTGTTATTCATTCAGGAGAATGGGTCTCTTCTTGAAATGCAGAATTTCTTCACTGAAAACTACAGCGTCGGGATTCAGGTAATTCTTATTCAATATCTCAAGCACAGAACATCATTCATTGAGGGAATGACAGTGAATTTGTTTCAAATTCAGCTGCTTTTTTTCTAGGCTGTGTTTGATACTATTGTCACTGCTGATGATACCACTGTAGCGAAAAGTGACACAATTGTTTTAAACAGCTGTTCGTCCTGGTATTGCAAGGCTGAGATTGACTAAGGGTCACAGAAGATACTGTGGCACAGTGCCAAAGAACCACAGGTGGGCCAAAAAGGCAGCAACTTCTCATCCTGAACAAATTGAAAAGGTAAGATGATTTTGCAACAGACTCAAAACCAAATAATTAGCTACACCCAGAAGAGTAGTCATTTCTTAAGGGTTCTAAATACTAGCAATAAAGCAACCTAGTATAGGCAATTTATAAGCATCACTCCAGCAATTAAACTAAAAAAAGAAAAGGAAAGGAGAAGACACTGCAGCAAGATTCAGCACCACATATCCAGATCACCAGAAGCAAACCCAGGGGCCAATGAGGTGGAACAATCCAAAAGCTACCCACCTGGCCCCTCTGAAGCGGTAAGAACAAAGCAATTGAATGATGCTCTAGAAAAAATTAAATCAAAAATAATTTCTCAGATAACTGCAGAGATGGTGTCCACAATGAAAACCATGCTTATGGACTCTAGAATAGATCCAGACAAAAACAATAGGGGAGCTTAAGAAAATTATGGAAGCCATGAATGCTCAGCATAGGAAAG